TTTTCAATAATCTATGCATTCATGTAATTGTTATAGCTTTAATTCTTACTGAATTCTTATTTCACAGGCAACTTGTAACTATCATGTTCATTATTCAGTAGATTTTTGTGGACTGTTCCTGCCTTCTATGTGGTTCAGAGATGACATTTCACGATCCATGCACGCAAAATGCAAGAACAGTTCATAAAAAAACTATTGAAAAATTTAACATAATGCACTTAATTTCAAAAGAAAATAATCTTTATTGTTACCTTGGTCCCTGCTTTATTAAGGTAGTTCCAAATAAAATGTGTATTGTCTTCCCCTACCTTGTATGATTTTTCCATGCCTTATGTTTATGATTATATTACAAGTAATTTTTAAACCAAAAGTTATTTTAAGCTAATATATCAACACTTTTTTTTTATTTTATCAGTTAAATGGACATATAAAACATACCATTGAATTTTTTTAAGATTCAGCCAAACTTGCTACCATCATCTTTGCCATCTCCTAAATCCAAAGTACTCCTGATCACTATTAACACTAGTTTTATTTCTCAAGATATTTAATGCAAATTTTTCCTCTAATGGAAAACAAAAATTTTTAACTGAATAAATCTCAAGTCAGTTGAATTAGAATCATTGAATGCACCTGAAAGAGTGTTATTATTGATTTCCTCAACATTTTTACTTAATATCCATGCTTCACTGATATACTGATGAAAATAAAAACATCATGGCCATCTGCTGGTTGCTGCAAAAAAAATCTGCTCCTAGTAGAACAAAAACAAGTGTTAATAAAAATTGAATGCAAGTTCACAAGAACTAAAATGAATATAATGATTATTTGTAGTGATTCTGTGCTAGAAATTGTTTGTAAACATCATATATCTTAAATCCAGTAGCATCAGGCCCTTGGCTCAGCCAGTTGCTACACTGTATATTACTTTACTAGTTAATAATACATTCTTTTAGGTTCATGTCATATTGTTTGCTTGTCTGTATGTGTGTGAAGCTTAAAGCCACATCTACTAGTGCTATTACTCTGCAGTCAACTAATAATTATTTTGATTTTGGTTTCAGTTTAATGATAATTACTTGACTGTTAATTCTAGCCAATTCTAGTGGTTTTTTTTATATCCTGAACTATGGAATTGGCATTTTGTTACAGTAATATTGAGTTTATTGGTTGCATCATTATATTAACGCTTGTTTCATTTTTGAATTTAGCCAAGCAACTTATTGGCTTGTCACAATTTTTGGCACTGGGCACTCTACCATATTGAACAGGTTGGTAATTAGTGTATAGTTACAAAATATCAAGAGTTTAAATTAGCACTAATTGTGAATAAGTGCTATATCAAAAAGTTAACTGTATAGAAAGTGCAAATATATTTATAGGTTTAGGTACCTTTAGCCTTTGACTACAGTTTCAAAATTAAAATAAAGAAATTGACTAGTTCACATAAATTGTGTGCTTAAGATGGAGGGTGCCACACATAAACGAAAGCAGTTGTTTTATTCAAGAATTTTGCTGTAACAGGGAGCAATACTGATGTTGACACTGACCAATAAGATGAAAACTAAAAACAGGCCCAGCCATTTGATCCATTATAGGGTGGGCATGACCATAAGAAAAAAACAACAGATGTGTTCACATCTTCAACAGGATCACTATATTCTAAACTCTAAAGCCTAACAGCTTTCTGGCATTAGGTGCATCTGGAAGAACATCCAAGGACAAGTTATAGTAATATTTCAATTTCAGCAATGAAGTCCAGATCAAAAGTGGTATAAATGTGCCAGAGAGATGAGGAAGCTTCAACCTTGTAGGATAGATCTGTCAGAGTACTCTGAAGGGCATGTATCATGTATCCAAGACATCACATGTGAAGAAACAATGAGACATCCAAGAATAGTCAAGAATTGAGCTCTCTTCAAGGTTACAAAGATGATCACTAATTGGCTCATGTCAGAGCTCAAGCACTATTGCCAAGAGATGACAGCTGAATAAATGGAAGCCTAGGCACTCTACAACTGTACAAATAATCAGCTGAAACAAAGGATTAATTTTCCATCTGTGGGACAGAATAGTTGAAAATGAGCAAAACCTGATAAAGGCCCAAGCAGACCTTAAGGCATTCATTGCTGCCAAATAGAAGACAATGGTGGCTCTTCTGGCAGGGTTAAGATGAGCAGAGAAGCCTCAACAATTTTCTGGAGTATATATTTTGCATACATAAAAAAATTAATTATGTTAAATCAAAGTTAACGGGTTTCAACTCTGTTTTCCTTTTGCAATTTTGTTAGACTATCCACTCTTAAAGTGGACAGAATAGCTCGATATTTTTTATTTTATTTTTACTTTTAGTTGATGTTTATATGAATATGTACTTGTAAATTGCTTTTTCTTTATTGAAGGGTGTTTCTTGTATTGATATAATGTATACCACTGACTCAATATAATGCAATTTATTTCAGCACAATCCTCATGAATCTCTTTAGGCTTTTTGGTGTTAATCAGCTGAGTTTCATCATAGATCAGAGGTTCCCAAACTGTGGTCCATGGTCCCTATGGATCTGAAATAGTAGTTAAGGGGGTCTGCAGTAATACATCAAATTTATGAAATTACCATTTATTGAAGAAGTAAAGAATATAATAAAATGCTAAGACATTAAAAAAACTAATATAGTAATAATTGTAATTAACATAAATTAAATTATGTAAATTCGTTGTGCGCCTGGCACCATTGCCTGCCAATCACAAAAACAAGACAGTTGGTTTCTAGTTGGATTGACCCATTACTACAGTGTGCACATTAGTGCCGCAATTAATTTAAAGCAGTAAAATATTTAATGCCATTTCCTACAACCTATTTATGTGAGCAAGGTTTCTCTCAAAGTATAGAAATAAGATAAATGTGGAGCAGATTCTTCATTTGAAACTGTCAGACATTGACCCAGAAATGTGAAAGATTGTTTCAGCAAAGCAGTATGTATCATCCTTCACATTAAAGTAAGTTGTAAGATTGTTTTTTTATTTTGCTTATTCAAATCTCTTTTCATTGTTTTTTCTTAAAACTAGAATCAAGCTGTAAAGGTAGTAAAATACGAATAAGATACCAGTTACACGATAAAAACTATTTTTAATGGGAGGTGGTCCACCAATACAGAAAAGTCGGTTATCAAAGTTTGGGAACTACTGCCATAGATCATATCAGATCAAATGAAAACAACTGCCTTCTAATGTTCACACGATCATGTGTCTTAACATCTGTTAAGATATTAATACTATTTTCAATAGAAATATGAAAATATCTAACATATACATTTACAATACATTAAGATTCAAAATTTGATTAGCTTTGCATAATGTAAAAAGTAGAAGATTAATTCTCATTACACACAAATTTCATGTAACAACTGTGTAATAGAGATAGGAACATGGAAGTCAATTAATAAATAGTTAGTTGGCAAAATAGTGAGGAGGGTGAATTTTGTACGATGAAATCATAACATGCAATCTAAAATCATGGACTCCAATCATCATGTTTTATCAAGGAAGAGGCATATTTTATTTCATTTAAAGCATAGTTAAATGGTTTTATTTTTAATTATTTTATTAAATTGTGTAGTATTTCATTTTAAATTATCATTAAAGGGTTCCATTATAGTATTTTTATGTTATACACAAAAACTGTGTTATAATCAGTTGTAAACCACTATTACAGGGTTTGTGATGTCCATGTGGTATGTAAGTGTTCCTAGGAATAACGTTAACATGCCCTGTCACTATATCATGAGTTTAAAAATGATTGGTGATATAGAGTACCTTAAAATCTTTAGATTATTTAATTTCTGTGCTGTAATATTTACAATACATGGTCCAGAAAGTTAAGACTACCTTGTTTTAGTTGTTTTGTTCTCTATAGCAGTTAACATCTAATCTGATGAAGAGGATTCACACTGTAACATTCTTTTCTTGCTTACTATGACTGATTAAATGGTACAGTCGATCTTTACTGTGAGAAAACAAAGATCAATAGGAATGTTTTCAACTGGATTAAAAAAATAAAATTTACCTGTTGAATTCTAGCATGCTTTTTTGTGCTGTTGAGCTAGGAGATTATGGAGTGAAGACCTTATTTTAAGATCATCATATTTAGTTTGATGGAAGTCTATCCCAAGAGAAAGAAATATGTGGGACTACAAGCAGAGCCTAGAAGAAGTGACAGTCTTTATGTGGGACTACAAGCACAGCCTAGAAGAAGTGACAGTCTTTATGTGGGACTACAAGCAGAGCCTAGAAGAAGTGACAGAGTCTTTATGTGGGACTACAAGCACAGCCTAGAAGAAGTGACAGTGTTCTCATGCACGCAACTGCATATGCTACATTTTCTTTTCATTTGTTCAATAATAGAGTATTATAATTTTTGCCAACTTTGTCCAGTCTCATTACTTTACACACACACACACTAGGAAGACTCAGTTAAATCACTCAGAATGGATTTACATGAAAATTGATTTGAACATTTAAGGGATCACTAAAAATACATATCAACGTTTAATTTTTTTTTATAAAAGGACACACCCCTTAATGGTGGGTGAATCAAGAGGGTTTGGGATATTGCTGTCTAGGTTTGCTATACATATTTAACTTTAAAATTTACAACAACATGGAAATAGTCATTCATTTTAATATTTGGTGATATTTTGAAATAATTAGATGAAATGAAACAAACAATGCAAATGATATGCAAAGTCCTTGCATAGCTGGTATTTTCTGTAATTTTCACGATAACTTGCTAGGAGTGTGTATCTTGTGGAAATATTACACGAGGAACTTAAGTTCTCTGAATAATTAATACCTTTAAGTAAATTATTTACTTTGGTGAATAAAAACTAACATTGAGAAACAATATTAGTATCCTCCTCAAACACAAAAATATTTTTGAGATGTTAAAAATATATATTAATACAATAAGATAAATCTAAGACAATTTTAAGTATTTATGTAACCTCCCAGTTCTTCACTGTTGAACTCATGAAAGCAATTCCTTCATTGGTACGACCTTCCATTTCAAACACATGAGCAAGAGCATGGGTGGCCCAAGCATCTTTTGGATTAAGTTCCAACCCCTGAAACCAACACAATATTTTGAGAAGTTAGACCAGAAAATTGTACCTGAATAATTTACTATTTGTACATCGTTATCACAAATGTATGCTTTAGTTGTTATATCAGTTTAACAGTATTAATAATAGTAAAATTAGAAACAATATAAAAATAATACCAAACTATACTGTTATTACAAAACAAGAGTTCTAATTAAGGTTGTTTTAACTACCTTATTAGCAACAGTAGTTCTAACTTTTGTGTAAGTCCAGTAATTACAGCTACTTAAAGTTCATTATTATAAGAATACCTATTCATAAGCTTAATTAAATTTTTAAAAAAACTATAAAATATTTCATATTTTTTTTATAGGTGATAAAATATCAAACACGTTAAGAAATCAATGCAACACAAATAGGAAATATACACAGCGATTATTAGAAACAAATAATATATTTCAGAAGTTTGTGAAAACTACAAATACACTTTAGCCATAAGTGACAGATTATTTTTTAAACACTTCGTTTGATTGATAATTTTTTTGATCAACTTGTTATTCCAAAGATAATCAATAATTTCACAAATTCTCTGAACAAATAACTTGACATGAGTTAATTAGAAATTGTATAAAGTTACTGAAACTTAAGAAACCTTTTGAGAAATCTCTTCTGCTTTAGAATAAAAGTTCGTTTCTTCCAATCCAAAAGCATACATACCATAAAGGTAACTGTAAAGACAAAAATTAATATTTTACAAAGGAAAGCATGTCCTAAATAAAATAAAAAAATTATTAAAGATTCTATTTCAAAGCAGCTTCTAACATGTTCAGCATCACTGCAAACTAGTCACTTCATATTATGTTTCTTTCAGAACTATAATTTCTTAAAGTTTGTTCTTCATGACCCCCCCCTTCCACCTATACATAATTTTCACTCAATCTTTTCAATACTGGTTTAACAGTTAATGATCCTAGAGGAGCAGATCAGTTGTAAATATGTATTTCAAGATATTTCTCTTGGCTTATAAACCAAGCCTTTTGTTTAAGCTTTTACACTGCCTGTTTATTCAATGAATTTCATGCAAAGCTACTCCAGGACTTTGTGATAGCCATCCCTAATTTTCATGTGGTAAAACTAGAGGGAAGGCAGCTAGTGAACACTACCAGCACTTGAGCTACTATACTTGAATAGCTGGATTGGGCCATTACTCTGAAAGTGCATCCATGGCCTCAGAGTGTGGAACAGAATTTTTCTGCAATACTATAGTCCCAAACAATTGAACCTCAAATCTACAGTCAAGCATTATAACAATTTGCTCAAAGATTTAAAATTGAAAATACATTTAGGAAATAATCTGTTACACACTCAAGCTTTAGCTTATAATCACAAATGTATCAAACACATTACACGGAATATAAAAGCTGAAGAATATAATCCCAATTAGTTTTAGTTCTTATGTTTATGAAACTAGGCCAACATTAATATAACCAATGGTATAAGCAGACAAAAAATCTTACAGGAAATTATATTACAACTACTTAACCGACCTGTAAAGTGGAGTGGTTGGTTTCCAGTGTGGAAAAACTCTAGCAACTGAATCTCGTATCTGGGATTGGTAGCCCAGATAAAAGTATGTGTCATGAGCCATCTTGAGAGCAAAAATATCGGTTGGATGTTTCACAAGTATATCTTCCCACACATTAGTGGCTTCATCCAAAAACCTAAAAATAAAAATAGTTATAGTATTTAGATTAGAGTGGTGATAGGCATAAACATTGTTTACAAAGTACAACATAATAGCTGTATTGAATCTTACCTGAATAATATTTACCAATCACTATACAAAAACCACCTTATCAATCAATCCATGCTTGGATGCAAATATTCACTAGGTAAACCCTTCTTTATTAAAGCAATCTGGAACTAGTGGGGTGTCACTTATATCCCTTGATTTTTATCTTCTCTCAGCAGAAATGCTTTTTTTAAACAAACTGCAAAAACTTGACACAAACTTACTAAACAGTATCTACTTTTGGTATAAAACAACTCATATAAACTGATTTAGTTTATTGTTTTTATGTTGACAAATTTCCCAAATTATGTTATGAGACAGAAAAACCATTAAAAAATCATCTTTTTGTATTAGAACTTTAATTTTTATTGTAGATTATAAAGTTCCATTTAATTATATCCAGTAAGTTTTCGCTTATTACCTCACTGAATACTTTACCAATTACTGATTCACTCACTCAGAACTTATATTATTCTCATTTTCTGCTTACTACATGAAATTTCTAGATCTTTATGCCATTATCATGATTAACTTCCTCTAGCAAACAAACATTTCAATTAAAATATCGAAAATGTAGCTGACAACAGTATTATTATTTAGCTTGATAAATGGTATGGTGATGCCTTTGTGAAAGTTCTTGTAGATTACAATAAATCTATGTTAGTTTTCTGCAGTGTTTCTTATGATTTAATTTATAACTAGAAGTGGTGATTGCTAAAATTGGCAAGATATAGTATCAAAAGAAATATGTTATTGAATATGAATCAAGTTATATGAGTTCAGTTTCTGTCAGTGACAGTTATTGCATCTATTCACCCATGATTCAGTTAACAAATATGCTTGTTAGTGTGTAAATTATGAAAATAGTTTTATAATTATGTTAAGTGAACATTAGGTTTGGATTTTCTGTTGAAATATTGTTTATGAAGTCAGGCCTACAAGTGATGATAGCTGTAGCAAATATTATTGAAGAAAAATTAATTTGCTATCAATATGTTGGTATTTGCCAACTACCATAATAGAACCCAATCAATGATAGAACACTTACAAACACAAGTGTTCAAAGTGGGATTATTTTAGTGAAAATAAAATAAATTGATTAAATTTCAAGATGACAACAAAATGGGCACAAATCAAGATGAAAAATACAGAAAACTAAAAGACTGAAAATTAGAAGAATGAGACCAAAAATTAAAAGAAGACCAAGAAAGACTAAAAATTAGAAGAATGAAACAGAAAATCAGACAAATACAAAGAGAAAAGAGACTGGAATTCAAGAGAGGGGTAAAAAGAAAAAAACATAATACTTAAAGTAGAATTAAGAACAAAAAGTAGATATAATTGAAAAAAAAGATTGATGAAGTTCTTTACAGAGATTTACAGAGGTATAACAGCAAATAAATTGAACAGGTTTAAAATGACAATAACTGAGTACAAAAAGACATCAACAAAGTACAAAAAGACATTTATAATGTGTAGAAAATAACAGCAAGACCAATGAGGTAGAAAAGAACATCAATGACAGAAAACAACATTTGGAAAATGAAATGATAAATGGAAAGATTAAGACATCCACACCATTTTCTGTGTTTATTAGAAATTCCAAGATAAGACACAATTTAATATTAAAAATCAAAAAGGATATACTGCTATGGCATCTGTGACTAGAGGATCTTCCAGGACTACTTCAGCCTACTATCAAATCAAGTTCCAAAATTTAGATTGATACTGATGATGCAGTCCCACTACTGCAGTTAGCCAGATGACTCCCACTTGTAAAACAACTTTCAAAGAGTATTAATCCTAGATTGGGCATCACCTATTGTGAATCAATGAATAATGAAGTATTCAGTGAGTTAATTAGTTCAGTGCCTATTACTGACTTACACATTGAGATTCTGTTGAAACACTGTTTGTGAATTTAGACCAAGAAGTGAATGTAGCATCTAGTAAAATGTTATCGAAGAAATAAACTAATTTGTTGTCATTACATGGGCTGGACTTGTTATTATTTTTACCTAAAGAACCCACCCAATGATAGAGCATTTTACATCAATACTTTTGCTAACAAATGGAATATTTTGACAAAGTCTACTTTACCCAAACTAAGTTTACTTGATGTCTTGTCTTAGAATAAAAGTTCCTTACACGTGTAATTTAATACAAAAAACATTTTCAGAAAAAAAAATGTTTGAAGAAGTATCTATAAAAACTTCCCAGATACTAAATCTTTTAAAGTTCCCATTAGATTCCCTTGCTCATCCTTGCAGGTCTAGGCACTTTCCATAAAACCATTAATTACTGATCATACCATTCTACATCAATGTAACTAATTTATAGTCTGCTCAATCCAATGGAATTTGAAGTTTGCATGTAGATATTTTCAATGCTGACTTCATTTGTAATTATTCAGACCACATACTGTGACAACATAAAAGGGTGGGAACAAAGCTGTAGAAATCAAACAAATAACTAATATGGAAAATCACTTAAGAAATAAAATTATATTCTCAAAAGATGATAGAGTACTGTAGAAACCAAACTTTAAAAATTTCTTTTTCACTTTTCTTTACAAATTAGAATAATTAATGTTACAATATGTCAAAATATCTATTCTAAAATACTGTTGAATTTCAAAATTGGTGAAACAGAGTTAGAATTATTATTTTTTTCATATATTGGAATTTGATATGTAGGTGTGCCCTTGACACTTGAAAGATGCTCAACAGACATGGCTGGATTAATATGTTGATATTAGAAGCAACTGTTTACAAGCTAAATCAGATCATATCAGTTAGTGCCCACCAAAAATACAAGCTTCAAAAACACTGTCAATGTATATTTAGTATGTTACACTAAAAGAGAACTCTTGTGTTTCACCCTTCCATAATCCTTTACCTAAGAGCCAAAGATTGTACAATAAGTAAGTAAGTCTTATTACTTGCTAGACTCTCTTTTTTTTGTAATTGCTCCAGTGTAGTGTAGATCATACTGAAGTTGATGAGTGGTACGACATATGTACGTGTTAGTATATGCTAGGTATTTGTCTCCCTTATGGGTACAATGGGAATGATCACTGAAATAGATAATCCAGAATTCTGAGATATCATACTAGGAACATTAAATTCTGTGTTACAAAATCGATATATCATAATTACTCTCCTTGCACATGTCTGAAGACACATTCTTCCTACCTGCTTCTGCAACCAAATTCAGGTTGTCTGTAATGAGCTTAGAAGCTAGACAGTCAGATTTTAAAGACCACAACATGACTTTGTGTGAGAATAAATATTTTGAATTTACTCATTCACTTGTGTCTGTTTCTTTTCTTTTTCTGCCTATGTTCAACTTATTCTATCCTCAACATTCTCTAAATCTGCTGTTTACTGTGGAATATGATACTTTTGTTTCTGAAAACAATGTACCTGAATATCACAACAGGCCATATATTGCCTATGTGTGACTGTAATCAATAGCCAACCAACATATGAAAGGCACTAATCTATAACCCATACTACCTTAACTAATCCATTCACCTTGGAAAGGTGAAACTCCTTAAGTAAAATCATCCTCACTAGTCAATCCATATTTGAAACACAATTCAATAATCTAAACCATCCTTTTGATTAGAAAAAAAATATAAAAAAAAGTTACAAGCCACTGAAAAAGCAAAAGTATTTTGGACTACCTTTCAATCATGGAGAAATATCATCTGGACAAAGTTACAGCAATCTTAACAATTAATCTTAACAATTCTTTTATATTTCCACCCTTTATTTCCTCATTACTGTACTTGTTAGATTTTAATGTTATCTTTTCTAATTAGTTAATCATTTTTTACCTACAATCATCACCATATACATGAAAGACACAGTTTATGACTGTAACAGTATTGTATATTTGCACCTAAGAGATACTGTTTGCTAACTTAACAAGATCATTCTTACCCATCAGCCCATAACTGGACAGCCTTAACATGACTTTGTTCCCTTGGAGTTAAAATACTAGCTTGTTTTTTGGCTAAAGATTCAATGTTTTCCATTTCTAGTTTAAACCTATTATCTAATCGCAGTGTCCTTCCAGTTCCTATCAGGTCCAAGCCTATGGACATCACATGACCCATCACTATGGAAACAAAGTGATATTAGTTAGATATTCAGATATCCCATTACATATGTATAGTATATACACTGCAGGCTGAAATAAATACATTAATATGAACAAAAAAAGAACAGCTTTAGAAAAAATATATTTACTTCATATATGTTTGAAATATCATAAGAAATTTTACAAATAAGACCAATTACTTTTTATTATTTTTTTAGAATGCAGAAAAGTTAGACACTTAGAATCTTGATATAACTAAACTGGTTTTTAAGCATTTGAATGGAAAGGACATTAATAATCTTTAGTTTCTAAAATGTAAATTAATGCATGATAGATGGCTAGAACACTCTAAAATGTATAATACTTATCAAAATAAAAACATAAATAAACTGTCTTCATAATAATATTACATTTAATGAAACAATATGGTTTGAAGTGAAATATCATGCATCTTTATGCTACAGTCATTTGGGTGTGATTATCTTACCAAATTCTGGATCAGCCACTTTTATATCTTTTAGTGTCTTCTCCAAACCACCAAATGTATCATCATCATACCATCCTAAAAACTAAGAGTGTGGATATTTAAAACAAACCAAATTAGCTATAAGGCTTCTGTTATTTTTTCACTTAAATGATAAATATTCAAAGTCTGAAGACTTTGTGTGAGATTTCTGAATTTTAAAGATCATACTAAAATTTACACACACACATACATATACATAGATATAATAAAGAAAATAGCTTCAAAACTATTATTATTATAATTACATTAGTTGTAAATAGGCAATTAAAATCAGCACTATTTAATATAAATTAAGCCTTAAAATTATTTTTATTTTAAAATTTCATTGCAATTTTCCAGTTGCAAACTTAAAATCATAATGGAAATTGTCTGTGGTGATAGCACCCAAAAGCGTTGTGGATATTCCATTTATCAGACAAAATCCAATCACAGATGAAAACCTAGTTAGTGGTTGTGGAAAATCAAATAAAGGTGCAGAGTAGAGTGCTTATACTCACAACTTCTCAACTCCTACTGCCTTTCACTGTCTGCAGCGAATTGTGGGAAGGCAGTTAGTTACCCTTAAAAGTTCTTCTAATATTAAAAGTAGAAAAAAAAACTTTTAGTAGAAATATTTTTAGGGTAGTGTTATTAATTAGATATGTTATTTGATGTCTGCATACCTATGGATGTCACTGATATTGTTTCTATTATCACATGGTTTTATTATCCTTTAACACTTTCATCGATTAGGCTTTGTTGCGAGGTACTCATCTTTCAAGCATTTGTCTTCCATATAAAACAAAACCTGCTTCATTTTTGTCTTTCCGATATATCACTTTATCTTGTTTCCCATTTGTGGGAAATTTGTTAGCAGGAATTGATTAGAATTCTAGTATTTCTAGTTGCTTATGGTCATCATTCTCATCCAGTCCTCCATGTAATTTTCTTTGGTGCTCACTACATCTACTCATATATTTTTGTATGGCTTAACATCAAAGTAAGCATTGTGGGTCTCTATAACTCACTCATTGACTCTGTTCTGATTGACTTCTCTTTAAAAAAAAATTTTTTTGGGGGGGTGGAGGGTGACATCAGAGAATTTTATTCATCATTGGATCAGATTATTCACATTTCACACTTAAGGATGCCCACCAGTTAAGGTTTATAATGCTAAACACAAGGTTTCAATACTCATGGTGGGCACAGCACAGATAGCTCATTGTGTAGTTTTGTGCTTCACTTAACAACAACAAAGCCAAATACCAAGGATACCAATGTTGAGTGGAGGTTGGGAGTAATCTATTGTAGAATTTTTAGGGTGGTTTTATTGTTATTTTTCTACTTTAGGAACTATTAGAAATTTTAATAGTGGAGGCTGGGAGGCCTAATTAAAAATAATCAGAACCATAATAGCCAATTATCCTAATCCTAATTAAAAATAATCAGAACTATAATAGCCAAATGACTTTGAAGAAAAAGAATGTCTGAAAAGAAAACAAGTCATATCATGCAGAAAAGAAAAATGATGATGATAGTCAAAGTAAAAAAACAATGTGGAAGATTAAACTCCCCCCCCCCAAAAAAAAACAACAACAACTGAGAATTGCAAGGATAATGTGTAGTGTATGAATAAAAGCTAGTTTTACCCAGAATCATGAGGAGATAGGAGAAGAAAAAGATTCCAGAACTGAATCATCTCACATGACAGGAGCATCCTCATGTGCAATAGAAATCAGTTTGATACTGAAAATAAAACATTCATAGAGAAAAAAAAGCACTGTAGCAGAAAAATCCAGCTCCGCAGACTCTGAGGGCAATTAGGGTGGAGCAAGAGATCTTAGGAGTTTTACAAATGAACATGATATCTGCTGGTAATACCAGTATACAACAGCATAAATATTTTGAACAATCAAGATTGGCAATGAAGCTATAAGGTTAGCCTGCATGTTATAGGTAGACTGCGTAATCTTAGTCTTAATCAAAAGGTGATATAGGGAACTTGATGCCAAAGGTTCAAAGGGTGGATAAGCCATGGAGAATCAATGAGACATCCCAATTAAGAACTTGGATAGGACCTAGAGGAACGGATAAACCAAAAAGATTTTAGATGCAACGTCAAAACTGGGGAGTCAAAAACATTATATCTCCCAAAAAAATTAAAAGTAGCAGACAAAGATTCCAAACCTTTGTGGAATAGCTATGTCAGAAATCTAGAAATGTGTGGCACAGTGGGTTGGTTGGTTGTTTTGAATTTTGCGCAAAGCTACACGAGAGCTATCTGCACTAGCTGTCCCTAATTTGGCATTGTAAGACTAGAGGGAAGGCAGCTAGTCATCACCACCCACTGCCAACTCTTGGGCTACTCTTTTACCAAGGAATAATGGGACTGACCATCATATTATAATGCTCCCACGACCGAGAGGGTGAGCATATTTGATGTGATGGGGATTCGAACCCATGACACACAGATTGCGAGTCCAGTGCCCTAACCACCTGGTCATGCCGGGCTCGGCACAGTGGGACGAGAAAGTTTAAAACACGTCTGAGAGACCACTTACGATAAGTAAACCATTTCCATTGATAAACAACCAATGAAGAATGCATCGCATTTATGAACATGCAACCCAAGAGGTCAATCCCTGACATCATGAAATTAACCACATAAAAGCCAAGCGTAAAGTCAGAGAATGGTGATGGCCAGAAGAAAACTGTAATGACCACTGAAGAGAGATTCTGTGCTATTCTACCAAACTATCACTTCGAGTTCAGGCACAGAAACACACACTGCTGGACAGTGAAGAGAACAGGTGGAAAGTGTGAGTAGAAGTACCTGTCTGAAATACATTTTCAGTGTAGGAAAATTATAACTTCTGACAAGGTACCTTACTTCTGCTCACATAAATAGCTAGAATCCCACATTGAATAGTTGGAGGGACCAGTGTGAGGGAGAAAGTACAAGCATCCTTCAAAAGCATCCAAAGAACACCCTCATGATGAGACCCTCTAATAAAAGGATCATATGTGGGAGATCACACCACTTCGCTACCAGGTATACTCTTTGCCCAGATATGGTAATGGTGTCACAGATCTGGGCAGAAAATTGTAAGGAGCACATTCCAATGGGAGAGAAAACAGTTAGACAGTGATCCTAGCCAAAAGATATGATATTTACAATCTCTGTTATGAACTGAATGTGGGTAAAATAAAGGATGTGTCCCAATGTGAAGAGTGGCTAGGGTGCAACAGACTGTACATGGAAAGTCAAATGCATCTAAAACTTGGAAGAAGGAGACAAGGGAAAAAAAGGCCAATTGAATCATAAGATGCAACCATTGGGTAAGGGAGAAAGGGAAAAAATCATGAAGAGAGAAGTGATGTAAGGAAATGAAACTGTGGGAAATGGTAAGAAGTCTTGAAACCAATGAAGCAGCCCAGAGCATGTACGGGAAGAGAAGGTCCTCTGGATCTGACTGAGAATAAAGGTGAATGATGGCATGAAATGAAATAATGAAAAGAATATTCCAAATGATCCCCAAAAATGTTAGTAAAACTGATTCAGAAGAAAAAGAACATGTCGAGCTGAAACAGCCACTAAAACCAGATCTGTGCTGATTAGAAAGGAGCAATTAGAAAAACTGACCCAAAGTGACACTGATGACCAAAATCACCTTGGGAAGAAGGCTGATGGAATGACAAAAACAAACTTAAAAACTGTATCTAATCCTGTCTGAGTGTATCCACAGCCAGGGCTAGTGAATGACGAACTGGAAACCAAAAACAAAAGAGGTCACTTGGAATCGAGAAAGGAGTCAACTGCTTCCCATGGAGGACTACCCCACAGGAAGCAGACCCACCAAAAATATGTTGATTGAGAGGCCACTCCTTGGAAGAAAATATTTCGGGACTAGAAAGGCAATCTGCAATGAGAACGAAAGCACCTGGAACACAATGTACCAGGAGATGTATGTTAAGTTTGTGGGTTAAAAAGGGAGATCTAATATGTACAACAAAGAGAACAAGAATGAGTGCCCCCCTTCGAAAATGATATAAGCCATCACCATCAAATAGTCTGAATGAAACATTAGTCAAATCCAAACAAGAGAAACAAAATGAATGAAAGCACACTGGACTACCTGAAGTGCCAGGGTGTTAACATAGTAAGACCTTTCATCTGTAGAGTATTGTTCTGAAGCCTCCTGCTGATTGACCCATGTCCCCTAACTTTTGAGATGAGCATCAAGGAAGAGAAACAAATCCAGACAAGGAGAAGGAATCAGTAAACCCGATGATGTGGGAGATATGTTCAACCACCTATACATATATTCGAAGAGGGAAGGAGGAAAGTTAATAGGAAATTCAAAGAAACCGTAGCAAGAGACCAAGAATCATGCAGTGCCTCCTGAAAATATTGCAAATGTGCTAGACCCAAAAGGAGAATTACTTCCATACAAGCCACATCCACAATCCATTACAACCTTGCTAGTAGTAAAATAGTGAATTGTAATGAAGTGAATAACAGAAATCACGACCATATGCATTCAAGTTGGAGAATGGATGTTCCCAACATGGACATGATTAAAGATGTCAATGACACAAAAGGACAATAAAAAAAATATAGAATACAGCATCATAGATAAATCACATGATGCTAAGTGAACAGGAGTAGGCAAAAAAATGCACCAGTGGAGAAAAAGAGCCAAACATAAGTTCCTATTAGAAGTGGATGGTAAACAAATGGTACAAGACAGTGTCGCACCCAAGAAGATCCTAAAATCAAAAAAGCCATGTGTGGAGGGAAAGATCTGAAGATGTCAAATGCCCCAACATGGAAGGAAGGAGGAAGAGGTATCCCACAAAAATCCCTTAGATATAGGTGTAACACCTAAGAAATATATGCATCATAGGTAATAACACTCCATTTTCAATGTATTAACTCCAACTTCAAGGCAACAAAATGACAGGGTAAATTTATTACAGTATATACATTTTAGCTTGTACCTATGCATGTGTCAGTGCATGCTTGTTATAAGCATACATGCATTATTCTCTTTTTAATAGAAA